CATAGTGTTTTTTTTCACAAGGGACCCTCAGAGGGGGGAAGCCGGCCTACCTGGGATGGTACGATTTCATATTTAGGATGGACGAGTGTGCAGAATATATATATATATATATATATATATATAATAAATGTGAGATTTTAATATCCCAGGGGGAAGCGTTAAGTCCGGGGGGTGGAGTCTCTCTTTTTAGAAAGGAGACTTGATGTTTACCCATAGATTGACACATCCCACGCTCTTGCAAACATCCCACCCACCCACCCGCAACTTGGTTTGCAAAACCTCTTAAGACCGGCTACGACGACAACGACTACGACGAAACCGACGGCGTCTCCGACGACCTCGACGACGACAACGGCGACGACGAAGACGACGACGACGACGACGCCAACGAAGACGACGACGAGGGAGGAGGAAGGACGACGACGGCGACGACGACGACGACAACGACGACAATGACGAAGAAGGAGGGAGGACGGCGAAGGCGCGAACGACGAAGAAGGAGGAAGGATGGCGACGCCGACGACGACAACGACGAGGGAGGAGGGGAGACGACGACGACAACGACGACGACGACGACGGCGGCGAAATAGGAAGGACGACGACGAGACGCCGACGACGGACGACGACGACGACGACGAGGGAGGAGGAGGAAGGACGACCACGGCGACAACGACGACGGAAACGACCACGACGCCAAAGAGGACGACGACGACGAACACGAGGAAAGACAGAGGACGACGTAGGCGACGACGACGACGACGCGGGAGGAGGGAGGACGGCGACGACGACGACGCAAGAGCGCGCGCGCACGGTTTTGTTGAAAATCTGTGTTGCGAAACCTTGTGTGTGTTTTGTAGGTTTTTGGACGCGCGATTTCGAAATCCTTCCGAAACCGATGGGTTTTGAAGGATTTCGGCATACGCGCGCGACGACGCGCGCGTCTGCATGTCGTCGTTTTTTTTTCAGAGGATTCTCCCGACGGCACACGCGCAAGGGCGTTCGACAGATTTCGACATGCGCGCGCGCGAAGCCCGTTTGGCAGCATTTTGTGAAAATCTTGAAAAACTAATAGTTTTCTTCAGATTTCGCAAGAGCTCGCGCGGAAGCTTGTTTAGCAAATCAGTGTTGCGAAACTTTGTGTTGTTGTACGTTTTTTGGAAACTCGATTGCGAAATCTTTCCGGCACCGAAGGTTTTTGATAGATTCCGGCATGCGCGCGCGACGACGTGCGCGTGTGCATTCCGTCCTATTGATTTGTGAGGGGGTCCGCGAAAAAGTGCTGTTAGAACACCGCATGGTGTTTTCTCTCAAGGGATCCTCAGGGGGGGAACCCGGTTGGCCTGGCACATTGCGATTTCATATTTCGGATGGACATGTGGTCAGAGTCATATATGATTTACTTCCCCGAGGGGGGTAACGATAACTCCGGGGGGGGGAGGGGAGAGTCTATTCTCTTTTTCGAAACGAGAATCTACTTGGTACTAAATATGTGGTACACTCTTATGTGATCCAGCATCTGTTGAGCAATGTATGTTGTGCGGCCTATATTTGCCATTTATATGTGGTGCGATCTCATCCGTACCACCTATGTGGAAGAACCTACGTAGTGCACTCTATGTGGTACGATCGATGTGGTGCAAATAATTTCTGTGCGCAGTGAGTTGTCCACTCCACTGCTCGCGCAAACATCCCACCCACACCCGCAACTTGGTTTGCAAACCTCATGGGGTGGCGATTGCGATGAGTGTTTGGCGCTGGTTGGTGCATCTCTGCGGCCGCGTCAGCCCGCGCATGCGCGCGCACAGAGGCCAGGTAGTTTGGCGCGACCGACGCGGCCGCGGTGTTGCTGACCGTTCGGCACATTCCAGCGGGCATGTGAGCGCGAGTCGGCGAGTCGGGCGGGCGCGGTATCATGGCATCGTCGACAAGTGTAGACACGATGCTGATGATAGTAGCGATGTCGGCGACGATGCTGACAGCGACGACGGCACGGCCAATGACGGCAACGATGCCGATCACGCCGGCGACGATGACGGCGTCTTTGCGTCGGTGTTTCAAGTTTTGGAAGGAATTCGAAATGTGCGCGCGGCAGACGCGCGAGAGTGGCCCGCACGGCTTTTGTTGACACGGATCGTCCCACCCCAGCACGCGCGCAAGGGCGTTCGAACGATTTCGGCATGCGCCCGCGCGACGCCCGTTTGGCATCATTCTCTGAACAAGGTTGAAACAACTCATGGTTTTCTCAAGGATTCGCATGAGCGCGCGCGCGTTTTTTTTTGGGGGTGGGGGATGTTTTTGAGTTTTCTTGACGCTCGGTGTTGAAATCGCTGCGCAACTGGTTTTTCGTTTGAAGAATTCCGGCATGCGCGCGCGACGACGCGCGCGTGGGCACTTCGTGTCATTTTCTGCACAATGATGGTCACGACGGCACGCGCGCAAAGGCGTTCGAACGATTTCGACATGCGCGCGCGAAGCCCGTTTGGCGGCATTTTCTGCGAATGTTGAAAACATATTTTTCCACAAAAATTCGCAAGAGAACGCGCACGCTGATTTATGCTTGTTTTTTTCAAGTCCGTGTTGCGAAGCCATCGGTTTTCCATGTTTGTTGGGCACCCGATCTGAAGGATTGCCGCATGCGCGCGCGACGACGCGCGCGTGCGCACTTCGTCCCATTTGTTGCACGGGGTTGTTGAACGCTGATGGTTCTTGATGAACGAGTGCGCGCGCGAAGATTAGTTGCAAGGATGGCGGGGGGGGGCGGGCGATACCCGCTCGGCTGGGACATTCTGAGCTCATGTTTCGGATGGGCGATGGGGCACGATCATGTGTAACTTGCAATACGAACAGGGGGCGAGAAACCCGGGGGGGGATCCTAATTCTTTTTAGGACAAGATAATGCGTATGGAGCAATGTTTGTTGTGCAACATATACGTACACGTGGTGCAATATATGTAGTGCAATTGACGCGGCGCAGTTCATATGATGTAATATAGGTGGTGCAAGGTATGTTGTACAACCTACGCTGTGCAAATCATATGGTGCAATTCATTTGCCGAAATTGAAGTTGTCAACTCCACTGCTCGCGCAATCATCCCACCCACCCACCCACCCGCAACTTGGTTTGCAAAACCCATGCGGGACCGAGCACAAATATCGCTCCGGGGTTGTCTTGGAACCCTCGGGGGCGTCTCAAGAGCGCCCCAAGAAGGCCAGAGAAGCAAGACGGCCGACGACGACGACGACGACGGCGGCGACGACGACGCCGACGTCGACGACGACGAAGACGACGACGCCGACGACGAAGACGACGACGACGTCGCCAACGAAGACGACGACGAGGGAGGAGGGAGGACGACGACGGCGACGACGACGACAACGACGACAACGACGACAACGACGACAACGAGGGAGGAGGGAGGACGGCGACGATGCGAACGACGAAAAAGGAGGAAGGACGGCGACGCCGATGACGACAACGACGAGGGAGGAGGGAAGACGACGACGAGACGACGACGACAACGACGACGACGACGGCAACGAAATACGAGGGACGACGACGAGACGTCGACGACGGACGACGACGACGACGACGACGAGGGACGAGGAGGAAGGACGACCACGGCGACAACGACGACGGAAACGACCACGACGCCAAAGAGGACGACGACGACGAACACGAAGGACACAGGACGACGTAGGCGACGAAGACGACGTGGGAGGAGGGAGGACGGCGACGACGACGACGACGACGACTCCGCAAGAGCGCGCGCGCACGCTTTTGTTGAAAATCCGTGTTGCGAAACCTTTTGTGTGTCTTGTAGGTTTTTGGACGCGCGATTTTGAAATCCTTCCGAAACCGATGGGTTTTGAAGGATTTCGGCGTACGCGCGCGACGACGCGCGCGTCTGCACTTCGTCCCATTTTTGCAGAGGATTCTCGCGACGGCACACGCGCAAGGGCGTTCGACAGATTTCGACATGCGCACGCGCGACGCCCGTTTGGTAGCATGTTGTCAAAATCTTGAAAAACCAATGGTTTTCTCAAGATTTCGCAAGAGCTCGCGCGCAAGCCTTTTTAGCAAATCACTGTTACGAAACCCTGTGTTTTTTTTGTATGTGTTGTTTTGGAAACTCGATTGCGAAATCCCTCCGGCACCGAAGGTGTTTGAAGGATTTCAGCATGCGCGCGCGACGACGCGCGCTTGTGAATTTCGCTTCTTTTTTTGCAAGGGATTCGTGAAAAAGTGTTATGCTAGAACAAAACGTGTCACCGCATACTGTTTTTCACAAGGGAACCTCAGGGGGGGAGCCCGGTTTGCCTGGGACTTTGTAATTTCATATTTAGGATGGACATGTGGTCATAGTCATATGTGATTTGCGTGCCCGAAGGGGGGGGCGATAACGCCAGGGGGGGGTAGAGCTTATTTTCTTTTTTAGAAAGGAGAATATACGTGATGCAATCTACATGGCGCAGTATTTGTTGTGCAATCTGTTGGGTGCACCACATGTGGTGCAATCTATGTTGCGCAGTGTTTGTGAAATCTGTGTTGTGCAATCGATTGGACTACAGGGGGTGCAACGGGGCTGCGTCGACGGGACGGGGCGGCAACGGCGACAACATAGCAGCCACACCAGCGGTCAGGCCAAGACGACGGGCGGCGACGAGGCGGCGACGGGGCGGCGACGCCGACAGCATAGCCGCGTGACCGACCCGCAGGCCCAGTTCCTTAGACCACGAGTAAGAGCCCCTCAGTCTTCTCAGCAATCCTAGACCCCCGACGTCGTGACTTGTTGCTTAACGTCGACCCCCAGAGCCTCTGGGGGTCGACGTTGAGACCTCAGGTCTCGACCCATTCCCTGGGACCAGCTTCTCATTCTGAGTCGTTTTCGACGGCCCCGAGTCCCGGCGAGGGCCCCGGGAGGCCGAACATCATAAAACGCCGCGCGTCGTGTCTTTCTCTCGTGGCGCGGGGGAGAGGCGCGCGCCCCCCGCGTGGCCAGGGCGCGCGCGTCGGGCGCGGCCTCGCAGAGCATGGACGCGCTCGAGGCACAAAACCAATCACGGCGGGAGGTTGTTTGCCTCACTTTTGTTCTTCGGCCTCTGGGGGCTCCCACTTCGGCCTATGCTATTTATTGTTTCCGGCCTCCCGGGAGGTTTTTCCGTACTTTCGGCCTCTGGGGGGCCTTATACCGGACCTCGGGGCCGTCAGAAAAAGCGGCTCAGGATGAGAAACGGGCCATTGGGGAATGGATCGAGACCCTTGGGGGTCGACGTCATGAAAGAAATCGTGACATTGGGGGTCCAGGAGTGGCGCTCTCCTCGCGCACATGGTTCAAGCAGTGGCAAGGCGTCCTGGCTCGCCTGGAGGCGCGCCAAAGAGTGTCTAAGAGCCTGTTGTATGGTGTGCACGGCATGTTCTTGGAACAGTTGTGGCTGGAGCCGGGACGGTCGGTCCCAGCTGAAAGAGAGTGTTCCTGTCGCGCGAGTCGTGGCGCCGCGCTTCTTACTGTCTGCAGGCGCGTGTGCTCAGCCGAGGACCTCGAGAGCCTGTCGTCGCAATGGCTTCGCAACGGGCGGTCTTGCCTCATTCTGAGCCTTGGGACCATCACGGATCGATCCAGCTCGAGACATGTGGCAGAATTATGGGGTCCAGTCCATTTGTTTATGTTCATGATTTTGCAATCTGTTCGTGGTTTCGGATCTCATGGTAGAGATGAGGATGAGAAGGCGACGGAGGGGGAGGGGAGGAGGAGGGAGGGGTACGGGACGCTGGGGGAGAGCAGGAGGAGGAGGAGGAGGAGGGAGAGGAGGAGGAGGAGGAGGAGGAGGGGGAGGTTGGTCGAGCAGTGGCGGAGCGTCTTGGTCTGCACAGAGGCCCTCCATCAACAACTATATCAGCAGTTTGCTTGCTTGTGAGAAAGCGTGTCAAAACTGACCCATCATATATAGATATATACATATATATATATGTATATTAGTTTCCCCCTCAGAACGCACTCTTGTCCTGCGAACATGTCGTGGTAGGCCTCCAGGCACACCGGGACTGCCGGTTCCCGCTCGAGCTGAGTCGGGTGGGAGAGGATGCGTGGTTGCCCGAGTTCCCCGACACTTCGCGCCCAGACGTGGGCGCTCCAGCGGCGCCCTTCTGCAGTCTCGCACCGCCCTGCATGTTTGTCGCACCCGCGCCAGGGGCCGCGTAGCACTGGCCAGGGCCACGAGAGCTCCTTCAGTGGGCGTCGTGCAGCGAGGGCTGCAGAAAAGGGAAGCCCTTTCAGGGTCCCTAAGGAGCCCCTTTGGGGCCCAAAGGGTCCGACAAGTGCACCTTTCTCTCCCTCATTTATTGCCCCCCCCCCATTCAGCGACGCCCAGCTTCATCTTAGCGAGGTACTGCATTTTTGCCGCGATTGGGGACACCCGACCCGAGGCGGCCGAGAAGTTCATACCCCCATGTGGCTCCGCAAGGGCATGGTCGGACCGAGGTATAAGATCGAGGTCGGTTCGGGGAGGGTGCCCTCATGCTCCTCGTGGCCGTCCGATGTTCTCCTGCGCATCCCGGGGGAGGGTATTCCCGAATGTTCCGTGCGTGTTTTGGCCGGCGGAGGGTATAGGACACGGAAAACCAAGGAAACGACACCTTTTCCTGCAAAGTCTCATTTTTCAGCACCAGTGCATTTTCTGTTTGTTGCATTGCAGGATTCGGGTTTGTGTCCGGGTTTAGGGGGGTATTGCAGGCTTTTATAGGGCCTGTGTCCGGGTTTATTGTGGTAACCTTGCAGTGCAACATGTTGCTCGTGCCGCCGTCTGGAAAACTTGGTTTCGAGGGATGTTGGGTGTCCGGGTCTAGCGTGTCCGGGTCTTACGGGACCCTGGAGCTTGAGGGATGCTCTTCTGTCGCAGGTCTGGCCGTACCCCCATGCTTCAGGAGAAAAAAACACAGACACAATGAATCGTCGATTCCCCAGGAAATATTGGAAAATATGGGAAGTGGGAGGGAAGACGAAAACCAACAGAAACATAGAAGGATACGGGGAAATCTGGGGATTTGTGTATTCATTTGTGTGTCCTTGGGCCTTTTCACATGCGGCACCGTTAGGGGGTCCAGTGATGCCCGGCAGCCCTCTCTGGGACGGTCGCCCCCGGTGCACATCGCCCCTCGCCCGCGACAATCTGATTCTCTTGTCCGGCGCGTCCCCTGGCCGCCCAGGCTGAGCAGCTCCCTCGCGGCCTCTCTCTCTCTCTCTCTCTCCCTCCCCCCTCTCTCTCTCTCTCCCTCTCTCCCTCTCCCTCTCTCCCTCTCTTTCTCCATCTGTCCCTCTCCCTCTCCCTCCCTCTCTCTCCCTCCCCTTCTCTCTCTCTCCATTTCTCTGCCCCTCCCTCCCCTTCTCTCCCTCTCTCCCTCGCTCATTCCTCCCTCCCTCCCTCTCTCTCTCTCCCTCTCTGTCTCTTGCAGTCAGCCCGCACAGCAAGCGCGAGCGACGCTCCGAGGCTGCCCTGGCGCCCCGCCCCCCTCCAGCCCGTGCTTTTGGCCGCTCCCGCTGGCCGCGACCCGCTCCCAGCGCGTCGACCTGGCCCCCCGAGGCCCCGAGAGCAGCCCTGCCGCCGTGCGCCCTCGCCGTGCGGGCCGCCTGCGGGAGGCGGGAAGAGAGCGGCGCGTGTCTCCGCAGACTGCCGGAGGCCCGCGAATGACGACCTCCCGGGGTTGGCGCCGGGACCGCCCCGGAGCGGCGCCCCCCCGTGGCGCCGAGGCCTGGGATGTGTTCTGACCTGCTCGAGCCTTGAGCGCCAGAAAGAATAGGAGGAGGAGGAGGAGGAGGAGGAGGAGGAGGAAGGAGAAGTAGGAGGAGGAAGGAGAAGTAGGAGGAAAAGGAGGAGGAGCAGGAGGCGGACGAGGAGGAGGTGGCGAGCAGGAGGGAA